CAGACGGTTAGCCTTAACGTTCAGGTTAGCCTCAGTGCTGTTGATTTGGCAGTGGTTAGCTCAATAATTGTAAGGGTTAACCCCACATACATCAGTATCCCACATTGACTCTTACCTGTTGTGCCATCATTTTTGTCATTTTAAACATAGTCATAGTTACTGTAGTTTTAAACGCCCATATTTATTTGGTAAACTTAGCCTAAAATCTAAAGTGAATAATTTCCAGTTTCCGGTTCTACCGTTTGCTTTGTCACTGACTCCAAGGGTCTTCACTAGTGTAGTGGATGCCGTGATGGCCCATCATGCCATCATGGTTGGATTCCCAGTCTAGAGAAGTCAGAGCTAACGCCGTGTCTTAATCGGCACGCGTTATCAACCGATGTGGGGCTGTTATTTCCTCTAGAGATACGGTTCAGAGAAGCAGCTTGTCATGCTGATTGAGATTTTCTCTCGCTGCTGGGAAGACTGGTTTCAATGTCAGAGATAGCGCCCTTTGGCCGTCATCGATATCGACCTCTTTAGCTTTACCTGCTGGCTTACAGTTACTGGCATCCCAGTCAGGGTCCGTTAACAGACAGGATTCCCTTGGATCACCTTTTCTTGGACCTCATCCTGAAGTGGTGGACCAAGCCATCCAATGTTCTTCAAGGGAAGCCCCTTCAGGCCCCAGCTCCCCAGCTGAACATATTCACGGATGCTTCCACCAGTGGTTGGGGAGCCCATTGCGGCAGTCAGTCAGCAGCGGGTCAAGGGTTGGCTACCGAAACTGCTCGGCACATCAATGAGTTAGAGTGGCTGGCCATTCAGGAGGCAGTCCTCCATTTTCTACCTCTGATCAGAGGTAGTGATGTTCCACCCAGACAACAGCTCAGCAGTTGCCTACCTACAGAATCAGGGAGGCACTCACTCATTGCCCATGTTCCGCCTAACATGGAACATCCTGTTTTGCCAGCAGCATGGGATCACGCTGTCAGTGCGACACATTCTAGGTCGTCAGAATGTTCTAGCCGGCAGCCTGTCGAGAAGGCATCAGATCATAGGCACAGAGTGGTCTCTGCACCCCAGCATAGTGCGCCAAATGTTCTACATTTGGTACATTCCAGAGCTGGACCTGTTTGCAACTCGTCACAACAACAAGCTGGCAGCATTTGCCTCCAGTGTCAGATCCTCAGGCAGTAGCAGTGGATGCTCAATTCCGTGGGACAGGTGGTGGGTATATGCCTATCCGCTAACACCATTGAAGCAGCGAGTGCTTCACACGTTTTACGACTTTTTTCCTCGGGCATGCGCAGAAATCCAAATTTTGAGTAGGGAGTAGCCACGTGTAGTCGTAAGAAATTTTGATCTGAGTTTTTCTCTTAAATTTCTGAGCATTTTCGTGCATATTCCAGGCTCCAGTGAGCCGATCACTCTGATCTGGGTAGCATTGGAAAGATCTTTTCCTCCTGCAGAAGTTGAGTATAGATGATGCCAATTTTGGTCAAAGGTGAAGACGTCAGAAATGGAACAAAGGCCAAAGCTCATCACGGCCGGTAACTGGCGGTACGGGAGTCAACGGGTTAAATTGTGTTTTTCTTTTGCTCTGTATGAAGCTTCATAGTGTTCTGGAGCATTGCTGGACTTTTCGCTTATGCAGATGTCCGACCTTGAGAATGGCATTTTTAAACATTGTGGAGCTTTGGGTCAAATGTTATTCAAGCCTGACAGCTTGGAACTTTCCTTCACCTGGGTGCTGACGTCATCAGGTACTCAGGCAGTAGATATCCCGCCTCCTTGCATGATATTCTGCGATTCATTTTAGATTTTAGGCTAAGTTTACGAAATAAATGTGTTATTTTCCGCGCAATGAGGAAAATTGATATTTATAGATGACACTTACCAAAAATCTAAAAGATTTGGTTCACTCACATTCCTACCGGCATGTTGCTACCTACCCGCGCTCTTTCACAGCCTGAGTGGGGAAGATTCTTCGCTGCACATCAAAAGTGAGGTAGGAAGGCCAGGTCACTGGGCTATGTCTTCTTCACATGCGGGAATTCTTTATTTCCCGTTGTTTTAGTGCATATTGTTTCATGGCAAATTAGCATTATTCATTTTTACTTTTTAGATATTACTCATAATTATTAAATTCTCAGCCTCGGATAATGCAATTCTAGCTTTCTGATTGGTTCACTGGATCTCGGTTA